AGCGAGACAGAGAGAGAGAGAGAGTGTGTGTGTGTGTGTGTGCATGACCACCGACCAATCCACATACCTGCCTGCTTGCCTGCCTTCCTACCTTCCTACCTTCCTACCTTCTTACCTTCCTACCTTCCTACCTTCCTACCTTCCTTCCTGCCTTCCTACCTACCTACCTACCTACCTACCTACCTGCCTGCCTACCTACCTACCTACTTACAGTACCTACAGAAGGCAGACAGATAGATAGATAGAAAGATAGCTAGACAGGCATAGAAATTGTCAGAGAGCGAGAGAAAGACAGAGAGTGAAATGTCAGATTCTTTTCACGTCTGGTTCCCCTGTTCACATGGTCTGGACAGAATCGAAGCCTGCATTGCCTATGACGTCGGCGCGTACACTTTCGAAAACTGAAAACTGCAGCCATATAAATTGACCTAAACCCTTAAACCGAAAACCCGTAACCCCTAAACCCTAAACCCTAAACCCCTAAACCCCTAAACCCCTAAACCCCTAAACCCCTAAACCCCTAAACTCTAAGCCCTGAAGCAGCCTTGGCCCGAAGACCTAAAGCCCGCAAAAGACTTCCCATCCTGGATATACCCCAAGTCCAAAACCGCAGTGAACCCCGAGTCTAAATGGCAAATTCCCCAAAGCCGGAAACCAAAACCCCAAAACCAGCCCGGACTTTGAAACCCCGAAACCTCGAAAAGCTCTGGTATCGTACATCTCCAGGCCGCATTTTAACTTGCACAGCAAGATCGAGAAGGTCGCTGAGCTCTACGAGAAGTCGCCAGCATTCAAGAACTTCAAGGACGGGAGGTTGAGGGTTTAGGCTTGAAGGGTTGTTGGGGTTTTGGGTCTGGGGTCCTTGACCCTTAACCCTTATATAACCCCTACTTAACAGTTAGAGTTTAGGGGTTTAGGGCTTAATTCTCGATCGATATCTACGATCTGGGGTCTACAGGGCTCTCAGGGTTTGGGCCTGTAGAGTGTAGGGCTTTTGGGTTCCAGGGCGGCTCTTTAGGGTTTAGGGTTTAGGGTTTAGGGTTTAGGGTTTCAGTTTGAGGGATTGGGTTTAGGTTTAGGGCTTAGGGTTTAGGGGTTGCGCGTAGAGGGATTATGGGGTCCTGTTGGGTTTTGGAGATTTTTGGAATTCAGGGCCTTTGAGCTTTAAGGCGATAGGGGTTCGGGATTTGGGGCTTGCGAGAGTTCAGGCGGTCGGATTAGATTCTGACCTTGGATCATAAGGCGGGGGTCTTGTTTTTTAGGGGTGTTTATTGGGAGTAGGATTTAGTTTATGGTTTAGGCCCTCAGGGTTTAGGGTTTGGGGCTCGTACTGTCTAAAAATGTTGTTGGTGTCCCCTAATTTCGGACACCGCAACAGGGTTCCGTCGGCCCACCCTGGCCCCACTGCAAAAGAGACACCCGCGCTGCCGACCCCGCTTTTCAGACGTGCAGGTCAAAGCGGAGTACAACAACATGACCGCCAAAGAGCTGGCCTTGCTAATGACGCTGGGATTTGGAGAGCACAGAACATTTGTCATGTTTCAACTTGTTTCATTATACAGGAACCACAAACCCTGAATCCTTGCGAATCAATGTTTAGGGTTCTTTGTCATTGGCTACAACAGGAATAGCAAAGCACAGCCTAAATTACAACAACAATCTCAAGCTCATAACCTCGGAAGGACAAGCATCATGCGGATCGCCGGCGTCCAGGGCTCTCGCATGTTGGCTTGGTTTCTTCGATGGCAAGTAGGCGTCCTTCAACTATCTTGGGTTCATCAAAAAAGAAGAAGGTGATCCCTAAAACCTAAATCCTAGGATCCAAGACACAGAAGCCCAGGGGCCCTGAGGCCCTCACACCAACACAGAAAGTTCCTTTCTTCGCACAGGAAAGTGACGAACTTAGGTTTTGCACATCGGGGGTCATCTACGGCAACCTTCGCATCGATGCCAGGGAGGTTTGGGACACGATCGACTTGTCGAAGCTCGGCCTCTCTTGGTTTCGGACTTGGGACCGCAGGCTTGTCTAGTCTTGGTCCGCTTTTGATCTTATTCTAGGACATCCGTATACATAGTGTGACTAGATCCTAAACCCTGTACCCTAAGCCTGAATATATTCTGGCACTTTCAAGGTCTTAAGTGTCTAGAAAGTTTTCAAGCTGTGGCTCTAACCCCAGAACTCTTATAAGCCTGATCCCTGAGCCGTGTACTAAATAAACACAACTCGAAGCAGCTCAGGAATGAGGATGACCTCAAGAAGTATGTGCCTGGGTTCTTGTTCAAGAGCTCATTTTCAGTTACCATAATGATGATCTATAGTAAACAGTATCATTACCCTAAACATCCCTAATTTCATCCCTAAGCCCCTAAAGCCCTAAACTCTAAACTTAAGCCCCAAAGCCCTAAACCCTAAACCCTAAACCCTTCTTCTCCTTAACGAGAACGCAGGTGCTCGAAGTATCTCGACTCTCCCCTCCCGTTACGGTATCTCACCGCGTGGCCATGGAGGAGTCTCGGTGACGGGTTTAGGCCCAAAAGCCCAAACGAGGGTTTAGGGTTCAGGGCTTTAGGCTTGCGGTTTAGGGTTTAGGGGTGTAGGGTTTAGGGTCCTGGCCTGGTATTATCCTAAGTATCATATAGCTAGGCTTTGCTTGTGTTTGTAGGGGTTGGGTGTTGAACCTGACCTAAGGATTAGGCTTGCCGGGTGGAGGATAGCAACAACTTGGTTTAGTCTTTGGGAGAGTAACCTAAGAATTACTAGGTGCTTGCGCCCTGGCGGTCTGGTTCTTCGGCATGTGTGGGTGTTGAACACTTGGCCCGGTTACCAGTGGTTAAGAGCTTTAGGGCGTTAGTTGGTTTAACGCTCAAGGACTTTAGGGTCAAAGGGAGCTCGTTCTCTTACCTCTTGAAGTTGATCCAAGGACTTCTCGTGTGAGATTGCCGGCAAGACTTACAATTTCCCCAAAGGTACCAAAGTGGCAATCCCGCTTGTCTTTGCCAACATCGACCAGGACGTTTGGGGTGCGGACGTATGGGATTTCAATCACAAGAGGCCTGGCTTGGAAAAGAACCATGCAGGCTTCAACTCCGTGGACGGTGTGGGTAACCGAGAATGTCCCGGAAAGAGCCTGGTCATGCGGACAATGGTCCGTATTCTTCAGGACCTTGGCAAGGAGAGGAGGAAGCAGAAGGCAAGCGCATAGAAAAGCTTGCTTCTAGCTTAATGAACAGAGCTGATGGTTGCCGGATTGTCCATCTTACAGCCCGTTACAGCCGTTTGATGGCATCAAGGATTTGGCAAAGCCGTATCAGTGTTCAGTATTCCTGCGGCACATGCTCCGCAGCCTAATTCGCGTCGCTCCGATGTGAGCGTCGTGAAACCCACGCACGAGACCACGACTTGACACATATGCGTTCTGCGGCCAGAAAAAACATGTTCTCGCCAAGCAGGTGCTCGAACGGATGTTGAGATCGGCTTTTTAAGTGAAGATGAGGTTCTTGCAACCTGCCCTCAAGCAACCCGAAAGCCTCACCGTCACCCAATGCCTGAACGACTATATTTTATAGATAGATAGATAGATAGATAGGTAGATAGATAGATAGATAGATAGATAGATAGATAGACAGATAAATAGATAGATAGATAGAGGCCTGATTAGTTACCAATTATGTTCCCTAGGGTTCCTTGGTATGACGATAAAATACATGCACCCTACAACCCTAGACCAATTCTTAAGGCTCCTCTAGCAGTCCTTCATCTTCCGCCCTCCACCCTAGACTCTAAACTCTAACCCCCCCCCCCCCCAAAAAAAA